TGTTGTCCGTTTTTCGCGTCGGATTTTGATGCACAATTCCACCGGCTATGTTCTAAAACAATTGGTTCATGCTTTCAGCTGTGCACTATCGAGTTGTGGAGCACGTGGGAAGTTTGGAGAGCACTGAAGAAGCTAGAGTCGCCCTCGGCTATCGCCTCGGGCAACTCTTACGCTTCGTTCGTGCTCTCCAAACTTCCCGCGTGCTCCATAACTCGATAGTGCACGCTAAAGCATGAACCAATTGTTAAATGTATTTTCTGCTTGAATTTGAAGTCTATTAGCTTTACAAGCAGTTCATGTAAAAGTAAGATAATAAACGAAGCTCAGCTATAAAAGCAAGCGATCAAAATGTAGAAATAGCCGCAAATTTTCGCGTTCCCTACAAACCGGAAAAATGTCCTCCTCGAGTAGAAACGGCGGCCGGCAAACGGCAAACGCGGGAAATGTCAGGTCACGTGACCCTCTCTGCCGTTCGCGGGAAAAAAATATGTGGTGCTTAATCTCTTTAAAGACTAAAAAAAGAGGGTCACGTGAAATCAGATCTTGTTGGAATTCGGCAAGGGGTTCGCGTTTACCGGGTTCAAGTTAGCGGGGGTTTAGTGTAATTCATATCTGAAAACACGACAGATATTCATCATTACAATTTGCTGTGTAAAGTGCCGTTGAAAGACACGCACCTCGAATGAAATATCATTTTGGCTGTTCTCAATTTTTGGCTGAGCTGGTTGCATTGGCGGATCCAAACTTTGAGCTAGGGAGGGGAGGGAGGGAAACCCGTTTTTGTTGTGTGTGTACATCTGCTGGCTTTTCTTCCCTCTGCGTTTATCTTTTTACCCAAAATAAGGGTGGGGGGCCGGTTCCCCAGCCCCCGGGCCCCTCCCCTAGATCCGGCACTGAGTTGGTTTCTGTGAAGTCACAACTTCATTTGTATCATGGGTAGGCTTTCGTATTCCTTTGCATGCGCAGATGATCTATCCGCCAATCGACATAATGTGACCAATGAAATATATCAACCTGTTGATGTAGATTGGGTTAGCGATTTGACACACACGTGCACAACCAAATTTCACGCAACGTGTCTTCTGGAAGAGAGAGGTCGTCGTTTGACAAGTCTAGACGACGCCTATGTGAATGTTTTATTCAAGAAACGCTTGAATGATTGACGAGTAGGGCACAAAAAGGCCACAAAGAACAGTTTCATCCTAAGGCTTTCTCCGAATTAACGAAATTTTATGACAAAACTACAATTTATGCGAGTTAAGTCAGACATTTTCAAAGAGTAACCAACTAATTTCAATTCTTCTGTCAAAGAAAGGTATTTCATTGGTTTTTGTTGCCGGGAATTCGCTTCCAATATTAGATATACTTAGAGATATGACTTTATTCATCAATTTTATTTACTTGCAATACACTCTTTTTGATATAAGAGCGTTCAGGCTGAGATAAACCAAAATTTAAGTACATACTGAGATCGTACCAAGGCTGGGAGTCACTTAAGAATGACTTTATTTTGCTTATTTTTGCGAGAAGTAAAAAATATAAGAGTGGTCTAATTGGACAATCAACTCAAACACTTAGAGTTTCGTTATAATTATAATTATTATTTTAATTATGGCAAGATGAAGCCAAGAGCTTTAGAATTAGATGAGCATTTAGGTTGAGCCAATGTCCAAACAGAGGATTTCTCCATAGTTCTTCGAGATATCATTTCTCACGATTCGCATGGATACCTCATGTAAAACATGGATGTCTGTCAGAAGAATTGGCTCTCGGAGCCAGAGAGTGAAAGCGTTTTATAGTTTTTTTGTTAAATATCCGTGGTTTGTCAACCCTATATTAATATCCACTGCCACGGAAGATAAATAATTGATTATAGACGCAACAATTTTTTCACTTCAATTTGCGATGTAAGGCATTGTTGTTGGCCAAACTTGAAACAGAATCATCCTTGTGGTTCATTTCAAATTTGAAGGAGCCGCTTGGCGTCACCGAGCCGCTAGCATCATGGGAAGGTCTTCGTTTGCCACTAGGGCAGATGATCAGCGTTGCAATTAACAGAATGTGGCCAATGAAATACGTTGACCTGGGAAGTAGAAACCATGTGCGTTAATGAATTGTTCAGGTTTGTAGTCTATGGCCAACATACCTTTTCTCTATAAGAGGCAGTCATGTTATTTGGAAGTTTCTTCAACTTGACAAATAGTAAAAAAATAATAACTGGATAAGATAGAGATGCCCCGGCCGGGACATTGTGTTGTGTTCTTAGGCAAGATACTTTACTCTCACAGTGCCTCTCTTCACCCAGGTGTATAAATGGGTACCGGCAATTTAATGATGGGGGTAACCCTGCGATGGACTGGCATCCCATCCAGGGGGTAGTAGAAATACTCCTAGTCGTTTCATGCTACAGAAACCGGAGTTAAGTACCGGCCTAATGGGCCATTGGGCTCGTAAACAGACTTTACCTAAGATAGAGATGCACAAAAGAGGCAATGATAAACCATTCGCTCCGACGAAGGGCTAACGCTCGAAACGTCACCTCTTGTAATCGTTACATTGGCCAATTTACCATTTCAACTTTGTTGATATATCTAAATTATTTCGTTACTCCCACCGACGCAGCCCCAGACAGTTTCTTTCGAAACTATCAGCCTTTATTCAACGATAAAACTTGTTACATAGTTGGCAGCGCCCGTGGGCAAAATGAAGTGAATCCTTTGTTCTGGCTGGCTACCCGAGCGGGCAAGAAAAAATTGCGTGGAGCGGACTTACAAAGTTCGTAACTGTTATACAATGTTGGCGATGAAGTCGCAACAGGCGGCGGAAGAAAGTCAAAACAAAGAAGCTTAAACGACCCCTGCGGGTTTATTGTGTTGCAGACACAGTTGACTTTATATGCCAGCTCTCGATCATCTTGGCCAATAACCCATGTAAGTAAGAAAAAGGATGGTAAATGATGGAGAAGATTCAAACTGATTGCGCTTGATGGATTTGAAAAGCTGCGCTCGATTTTCACGACGAATTAGTAGTGATTCACGTGCCTCAAACAGCTTTGCGCAAATCTCATAATTAAAAATAGAATCGAGCCATGCAGGTCTGACAAATAAAGTAAAATTGACCACCACGAAGACCTGACAAAGGACAGTTGAATTAAATATGCGGATGGATGGGGTCAGCTGGAAGAGCTGAGGAAGAAGGCAAAGGGCAGGGAGCAGTAAATATTGCCATCTTACCTGTAGAAATTCATTGAGAGATCAAACCTTAGCAGTACAAATCCTGCCAAGCAATAAGAGGTGAGTAGGAAGTTACAAGCCATCCATTGAAGAAATTGCAACAAGCCATTGATCAAAGGAAATGTCCTGCTGTGAAGGTCGCCATAAGCATGTCGCGCCTGCAATAAGAATACTCATTTACTTGTTGTATTTACTACATGTCGGCACTTACCCAAGCTCTCGCCAAAGACCATACAGGTCTCTATAGTAAGTCAAATCACCCGCGAGTTTTGATTGGTCCTCGCCTATAATCCATTGGAGGACAGACACGTAGATGACGTCACCATCAATTTTTTTTTTACTTAACAATTGGTTCATGCTTTAGCGTGCACTATCGAGTTATGGAGCACGCGGGAAGTTTGGAGAGCACGAAAGAAGCGTAAGAGTTGCCCAAGGCGATAGCCGAGGGCAACTCTAGCTTCTTGAGTGCTCTCCAAACTTCCCACGTGCTCCATAACTCGATAGTGCACAGCTGAAAGCATGAACCAATTGTTTTAGAACATAGCCGGTGGAATTGTGCATCAAATGCGACGCGAAAAACGGACAACAATATCAGTTGAAGCGAATCGTGACGGCGCTGATGCCGAGTCTCCTTTTCCTTTGTTTTTCTCTTTTTCTGCCTCATTTAAGAACTCTAGCCCATGGGAAAAGGTCGAAACATTGTCTTCGTTTTCGGACTAGCAGGCCGAGTTTCTGTTTGTATCCATTATTGTCGCGAAATGTATTATTTTTCCCCGCACTAGCAATGGCCGCTCGCGCGAAAAAAAAATTTCTGGCGAAGTCGGATTTGCTGACGCTATCAGCGTGCACTATCGGGATTTTAAGCACGCTTACGTATAATGAATTTGATTGCGCGACTCTGCTAGCTATGTTCTAATTTTTTTTAATTAAGTAAAACAAATAGGTTCTATGTTGCCGTGGGTTTGTTCAGCTAGACATAGATCACAGAAGACGTCAAAATGTGGTAAAAACATCACTGATGACATCCTCCGCTGTTTCTCTTGTGCCACTTTTTTGACGTCATCTGAGAACTGAACTAACGTATGGGACCATGGGATGAAGAGGCTATATAGCAAAGTTCTAACTTGGCTCCCAAGCTTGGGGGAATAAAACAAAAGAAATCACATCGAGTTTTAGGGATGAATAATTAATTTCTTTTGTTTTCTTCCTCAATAAAAAAGCCTTATTAATTTTAATAAAACATTTCTTCGAATATCTTCCACACGAAACATCACACAGACCTGAATCTTTGCAAGACCGGTTGAATATTCATATTCTTTTATCTCTTTGATTCATGACTTCATTTGTTGAATGATTTTTGATGATCGTGTAACAGTGAAACCGGCAATTGCACGGCATGACTGGAGCGTATAATCGTCAGTATTTCAACAATAAAAAACTTACTTTTCTCTCAGCTATTATGAGTAATCCACAGACTAAAACTGTCAGAAGATAACCAGGATAAAATCCATGCCATATGGTTGATACAGCTAAAGTGAAATATGTTCTATGGTGAGATACTCGCTGATAAACAGTCCTGGTACAAAGAGAAAGAATTGGCACACAGTCAAGAGAGAGAACGCGTTGTTCTTGATACTAGAACAGTTGAATAAGCGGGAAGTAGTCGTCAAACAAAATAAATTACTTCGAGCTCAAAACATAAAGTACCAAAATGGCCGCTACAGGAAAAAAAAGAGTACCGAAGACCGCGGTCCTCAGCGGCAAAACCACTAAAGGGCGGGAAAACGAGGGGTATTTGAATGAATCCTTTAACACGCGCGCTTATCGGTTTCGTTAGATTCGAAGGTAAAAGTTTTAATTTTATTATTTTCCTGCCTGATCTGAAGGGATGAGGAGGAAGATACACAAATTTTAACCCTTTAATCATTGAACTTATCTAACAAGGAATTTACTCTCTACAATATTGATATATTATCCAGACAAAGGTAATGAGAATAGAAAAGTATATCAGTGTAGTTGATATAACACTAATTTGTCTTAACTACTTCATAAGGAATCACATAACATTTGAAAAGGAAAATCCCGTGTCAGACCTTGAGGCTGAAAGAATCAGATAGTTGTCTGATTCTGAGGAAAGCAACTGGATAAAAGTGGTAAAACTATTTCATGGTATAAATTGATATCGTTAACTTTAAGACATTACGATCTCTTGTTAATTCTCAATGTTTTAGTGCTTACCTTCTTAGCCAAAGATTTGTTGTTATGTTCCAGTTGCTCAACAAGTCTTTGAAGTTAGTAGATTTCTAAGAAAGTGAAAATGATCATGGTTTATGACTTAATCTAGAGAAGGACTCGAAGTGATATTTTTGTAAGGTTCACTGGTGTTGTGAGTACGTTACTTGTATTTCATTCAAGAGCTGTGATGCACTAAAGTCTTGATGAGCAGATTGTTTTTTTTGTTCACATAAAAAGGTCGCGCGATTGTATGTCAAAGCTCTAAACGGCAGTCGTCTGATGGGTTAGACTGATCGAACTGAGAGTATGTGGCTCTTAAACCGTTTTACATGGTCATATAGGGTTCTTCCCCCTTCAAATACCATGCGCTCTAACAAAACTATTTTAAGACCCGCCATCCCATAAGAGCATAGATAGTGGACTGGGGGTCAGCTCGTTAGAATTCGGCTCGAGAGGTCTGGGTCCAAGTCCCGCTCGGTTCATTGTGCTGTCTTCTTGGCAAGATACTTTCCAGTCACAGTACACTCCCGGAGTTACAATATAGGTTAAGGAAAATTTCGGGGAAACTTGACTTTTTAGAGAAAGGCTGACTCGTCTGAGAAGTTGACCTTTTTTTGAACAGGCTCCTTCTCAGTGGAAAACGTCAGAGAAGTTTACCAACTGGAAACTCCCAATCTGGAGCCTTTGTGTTCGTTGATAATCCTTTGTTTTTTTTCTTCAAATGAGATTCACAAACCTCTAAATCCACTGGATAAACATTAGTCATTTTGTTCCAAAGCTCCCTCCCGCTCGAATCATAACCATTGAATCCTAGGCCGCATGCGTTATTTACTGCGTCCGCTGTGGATTAAAATCGCGGACATGAAGTTAGAGCGATGGACTTGCTTTCCATTTATGGGGAGTCAGTTGCATTACTCCTTATTGGTTACGGTAATGGAGACCAAGCTATGCTTCAGCGGTATGACCTGCATAGCTCATGCGCAGACGTATTCCTTTTACCTTTCATTCAAAAATAAAAATATATCATGACTCACCTATGATCCAGGCAAAGTAATACTTGAGACGTGTAGTGAACATGGCAAAAAAGGGAAAAGCCATTCTCCATAAGAAAGAGCTGTTGGCAATGAAATTGGAATCTGGAATAGAAGAACAGTACAGTGTATAATCCTGGCTAATCAGTGATGCAAAAACCACTGTGAATATATGAATATAATATATTTGAACCGTGGATTAATAAATGTAGATGAGAGTGATCATCGTAATAATGAACACTACATAAGACAGTATTGGAAAGAAAGCCTGAAAAAAAAAAATTCAGACTGTACAAGAATTGAACTAATGACGACTATGATCTCTACGATGCCGGTGCAGTGCTCCACCAACTGAGCTAACAAGCCAACTGAGAGCTATTCATTTGATCTTCAAATATCCACAGTCGCTCATTCATCACTACACGGATTTATTACGAACCAACACAATAACTAGCTCCTAGTTGGCTTGTTAGCTGAGTTGGTGGAGTAATGCACCGATATCGCTGAGGTCACGGGGTTCAACTTGCGAACAGGTTTTGTTTCTTGGTTCATCCGCATATCTTTAATATTTCCACTCGGATCTAATTGGGAATCCTCCTTTCAAGCCACTACAAGATTTATTGTTGAATTAGTGCAGAGAACTGAGCTGTATCGAGAAAATAATTAATAGGTAAATCAAGTTAAAACGCACACCTGCATTAAGATGGAAAGGAAATACTTTGGACAAGAAGGAGTAGAGGACCACACACAGGATACTGGAGGAAAACTTGGTTACAACAGCATTCTGATGAGAAAGCAGAGTTGGAGAGCTGTAAAAACGCATTTTGTTTGAGCATCGTAACACGTAAACCAAAGTTATCACAACAGCCAATCAGAAGAAAGGAAAATTTCGAGGGGCCAATAAGGACTCAAAGCTAAAACAAGCAATCTGCCTACAGCGCGGGAAAACACAGGCGACCAAGTTTCAGTTTTGAATCTGATTGGCGGAGAAAGTAGCACGAGTTACTTAGACCAATTACGAAGCGCAATCAAGTAAACCCTTTGAAATTCAAGATTACTTTCGGCACGCAATTAAAAACTGTTTTTACGCTCGGTTAAACTCAGGCTAAGATATAAAAACCAGTGCAGATTAAGTATCGGCGTTTTAAATCAAGTAACTTACGGTTGGTGAAGGTTCCTTTTTCGTTTCCTGTGATTAACAGAGAATTAGAACGAAAGAAACTTCGTTATACCAAGGAATATATTCATACATTAAAGTTTTTAAATCGTTAACGAGTTCGTAGCGGTAGCCACCCTCTGCTGACAATAAAGAATAGCTCTTCGAAACTCGAAGCACTTTTTCTGTTCAAGAAACCTTACTGTCCTTTGATAAATAAATGTTAAGTCGTTTGTCAGACCTATCAGGGAACAAGATCTACTGGTCAGGATAATGAGGATTGAAATGCAGCAATAAGAGCTCACCATCATGCTGCATAAGTGTAACGATATATACGTTACCGCTGACCCATTATCATCTGACAAAATCAATCAGAATAGTAGTCGGAACTTTGTGATTATCAGTCGATAGGTTAAACCTACTCTTGATATTACCTCCAAATTTTTTAGCCAAACGAATAAATATCATGAATACGATAAACCATGGCAACAGTCATTTCGCAAACCTGATCTGTGGCACGTGCAATGTCGCGCCCTTCAATAAAGTCCATGTAGTCATTAAATGTACACACAGGACCTGCTAAAAGCGTGCTGTGGTGAAACATATACCCAAAGTACTCCAATATTGAAGGAATGCGTCTGTGGAAACAAACGGAGGTATATGAACCAATACATCACAGACGTGAATAGAAGGGAAAAAATTGTCACGGCAGGTGAGCTAATGTCGAAGAAATAACATAAAAAGAAGCCTGAAAAAATCTAGGCTTTGACAAAATGGAATCCACGCATCTAAGATACTCAGAAGTTTGGTACTACTTCCTTGTCACTACTGTCGGATGGATAAAAAAATTGTTTAACAAGTGGAACAATAAGCGCGTTTTGATTGGTGCTTACTTTGTCGAAAACGTGAAAAAGCTGTACCACGCTTCTTTATCAAGTCACGGTTCATTGCCTTGTTTTTACGATTCTGTTACAACGCTTCGGTTACCTCCCACTCGCAGCTCCTCGCTTTTTCGATTGAAAAGACACTAAAAACGTTGCGTTACAGGCACGTGGAACAAGGCCATATATGGGCGAAAAATACGTGCCGCAAACATGTTGTTTGGTTTTGTAGTAGACAAACGAAATCACTCGTGATGTCAATCAAATTAAGATTAATTAACGTATCGTACAGTTTCTTACAACTTCTGATCTATTTGAGAACAAATGCATGAATGATGTCGACATTTACAACATTTTCCTTTTTTAATATAAAAAAATAGAATTCATGGTGTCTTGAGTTAGTTCTATGATCTGTTACTGAACAGAGACTCGCCAAAATGAAATCTCTTTGTTAAATACATAAACAGCTATTTGAAAGCTTCGCGCAATGTATTAACTATTGTGAAGAACCGGCTCAGAATACTTACGTGATTCGCTGCTCTTTTTGATCCTTTGTAAGTTCAACTTCTCGTCTTCCAAGCCCTGCCGTTGAAAAGTGATTGCTGACTCTCCACAGAACACATTGTACTTTTTTTTATAAACGTGATATATACATTCACTCCAATTTTAAACCACCTTAGGGTTTATGGCACTTTCTACCTATTTTCTTAGTAATGAAAACTCCACAACACATCGCAAGCGAGCAAGATACCTTAAATATTGATCTTAAAATACTATAATATCCAGATTTTAAAAAAGGCACACACGAAATTATTTCGCGTTATCAGATGGAAATAAATATGATCTTACCATCATGTAAGCTGAACGCCAAATAGGTCACTTTTTGGAAAATGATCATCATTCGGCTGAAAAACAAGCAAAACTCCTTAGAATTTCTGAAATACTTATAACTGTTGCTAATGCAGTATTTTTGTCTCACAAAACTCTTGTTAGCCTCTCAACCAATCAGACCGATCGCGACTTCGTCAACTGCGTCATGCGCGGGAGATCTGGAAACGTGGTGGTGATTCAAGAAAGTTTTATCTCGTTCCCAGATCCCGCTGGTGTGGTTGGCCGCTAGAGATATGGATACATGACTAAAACGAGGCTAAAGGGCAAGAGAGAATTACAGATGATGTTTCACAGCGCTCTGCAGTTGATCGATCTACTTGTTAAATCATGATCAAGATGTTGCCTTACCCGGCGTAGTCGAATCTATTTATTCCATAGTGCAGGATCATGCGGACTATTTGTCCCACTGACAACCAGATCAACGACACCATAATAACGACCCTGGACAGTGAAAATAGTTAGAAAAGTAAGATTACGAAAACAAGACCTACCGAGGGATCTGACAATACAGTGGTCAAACGTAAGGCATGCGCAAATGGACCAACGTTTGGCCGGCTTCGCGACAACCTCCCGCTCAAAATTGTTTTGATTATAAATACATAAATGACATACCAGAGGATCTGACAGTCAAACGTCACGCATACGTAATTGGATAAATTTTCGAGTATAGAGCGATCTTCGCAGTAACGAACACTACTGAAGCAGTAGTGAAAATGAGGCCTGTTCGTAATAAACTCTGCCTGTACCTGAATTATTTTCAGGCCTCATTTCCACTACTGCCTCAGTAGTGTTCGTCACTGCGAAGATCGCTCTCATACTCGTTCTTTAACTGCAGTTCAAATATATGACTTTCATATATTCGCAAACGTTGACTCATCACTTCACGGGTTTATTACGAACCAACATAACGACCAGCTCCCAGTTGGCTTGTTAGCTCAGTTGGTAGAGCACTGGACCAGTATCACAGAGGTCAGTGATTTGAATCCCGTACAGGCCTGAAACAACGTGGTATTTCCCATCATGCCATTGAGACGCTGGTGTGAGACGCCCCCTTCCCCCTCTCCCTAGGGAAAACTACCGACTGCCCTGTCCAGGGAAGAGCCGGAGAGATAAATTTTGTTTTGAAACTCAACGCACAGTACACTGGAAAGATCAAGGTATAGTTGTACTTACTTGTGGACTTTCTTTGGATCGACATTCACGGTTAACCCATAAGAAAGTGCACACACAAGAATCAGGAGAATCATTTCGCTGAAAACAACAGAGAAAATAGAAATTTCTCAGTTCACACGGGAGAGCAAGAATTCACATCAAGGCAGTGTAGAGAGGAGAATTTCCAGTGCAATTTTCAAATGAGCTTGGGAAGTGATACGGGTTTGGATTGGTGTAGAAACATTTTGCCTTTCTCTCAACCAATCAGATGTAAGACAGTCATGCGAGTTTTCCGCGCTTTATGCTATTTGCTTGTGTTTACTCTGACCTAATTGACTCCTCAAATTTTATCTTTTTGTGTTTAAAGTTGTTTGTATTGCTTTGATTTGTTTTTACAACAATGTCTTGCAATGCGCTCTGTCTTGACAGAGAATATTGGACTCCTATATGGAACTAACAAAGAAAGTCTAAACACAAAGATATCTTTATGCATATCAAGTTTGTTAAGACATCTTTCTCGGAATCTTAACAATATAAATGAATAAATCCCTTATATGAAATAAGGAAGCTAAAAGGGCGTTTGTATTTCTTTAATTTGTTTTTAGAACACTCAATTGCAATGCACTCTGTCTTGGCAGAAAATATCGGACTCATACATGGAACTAACAAAGAAAGTCGAAACACAAAGATATCTTAATGCATACTCAGTTTATCGAGATATTGTTCCAGAAATCTTTACAACATAAATTAATAAATCCCTATTATGAAAAAAGGAAGTAAAAAAGTCGACTTAAGACACCCTACCAAGACATAATTTTTTACCCACGTTTCTGGCACTTTTTAACCTTGAGCGCTGAAATAAATCAATGCTAAACTTAAAGCTAATGCCAACTCGTGTGAAAATTAAATGTAATATATGCAACAAGTCAGGCGGAAAACACAACTAAAATTTCAGGAAAAAAAATTACCTTCCCAAACATATCCAGCCTAAAAGAAAACCCCAAAGTATTGTCACTGCCAAGCGTGTATTTGCTGACACCTTCTTCGGATGCAGTGTCGTGCGATACACAGATCCAAGCGGGAAACAAATCAGCATGCAAAATATGAACTGGATCTGCAGAGATGACAATATAATTTTAAGTTTAACGAATCTAGCTCGTATGACATCGCCGTTGATTTAGAGAAATTTATATTTCATTGATATTTTAAGCCGCCTTTTCTAAGTTTTCTGGGCTATGACGGTTATAATTGTATGGAAATATGTTTAATAATTTGAGTTCAAATAAACTAATATATTCTCACGGGCAAAAGTTTCACTTTATTATATTCGTTAGATGGAATAGTGTTATAATCATAAAATAACCCTGTTTTTTATGTCTTGTAAACTGGAATTGTGGTTTTTGTAAAGGAGCAGTTGGTAAGTCGATTCTTCGGGACAGCCAGTACGTGTTTAAATCTTAAATTAAAGACACGTAAGCGATTGGAAAATATCACGTTGGCGTCACCAGATATAAACCGAATGCGTACCTACCTGCTCAACGGGCGTACTAAGCAGCTTGGCTGCCCACAGCAGCAAATCTTGTATGTAAATCATTCTACTACATTCAAAATGTTACTTCTTGTAAACAAATACGCAATCGATTGAGATTTTCGAGTAAAGTCTATCGTTGAATGAAAACTCTAGATGATGTAACGCGTCGGTGATTTCTTTTGATTCTATGTCTAATTTATTCAAATGAGAAGAATTGAAAAACAAGCCTTGATGATGTTTCTATGATCGATGACTTATTGTTTCCAGAATTTGAAGAGTATTCGCGCATTGTCATGTAGCCAGAAGGAAATTTATAGAGACTTATTTTCAAAAGCCTCTAGAACTTGTTTAAACAATGAGACAAGCTGGTCTTTTGACGCGCGGTATTAACTCAAATATTTTATCTTATTTTTTTCTTCAGTTCGTGAGCAGACTATGGCGTTTCGTTGCGGACAAAAATAAGTCTAAAAAAAAGAATTGACTTACTTGGAGAAATAAACAGTGAGATTAAAAATGTGTGGTCGAATAAATAAAACTTTACTTCTAATAAAAAAAATGATCCACGACAATAAAAAATGTGGTTTTAGGTTTAAAAATTGACGAGAAAATATGGCCAACGAAAAAGTGCGGTGGAGCGGAAAAATTAACATCGAAAAAAAAAACTAGTCGAGGCACAGGCAGCCCAAGCTCACTTCCAGAAAAGCGGACGTGACACACATTTCCATTCGATGTTGATTGGTCGATCAAAACAATGCGGTCTTGACAAAACCTCTCGAGGGGACCAGGGGAGCTAACTGGTTTGTTTGTCGACTGCAGGTCGCTGGCTACCCTCGCCAGGCTTATTTTTGTTACCCAGCATACTGTGCGATCGGCCAACGGGCCGCAAATGTTTCAAGCAGCCAAATTCGAAATTGGAAAGCCGATCGATCTGGAGATAAAAGCATCGCTAGTGAAAGATCTGTGGGAGGAATTGGGAATCGAGTGAATGGAAATGAAACTGCAACATCTCTGCTTTGATTTTCTGGAGGAATCGAGACTGGTGGTAATTTTTTGGCGGAATTATT